GAAGCTTCCGTCCAGGGGCCTGGAGCCCCACCCCCTCTCCTGGGATGTTTCAGGCGCGGCTCCCCTTCCCGAGCTAGAGCCAGCAGCGGTGCGAGCAGCCCTTGGGTCGTTTAGGCCCAACGCTGGTCTTGGCTGGGACTCCTTTCGCCCGAGGTGGATTGAGAAGTTGCCTGAGCCTCTCATTGCGGATTGATCCTGATTTTACACCGGTGTGAAGCGGAGCCAGAGCTCACTGACATATGACTCATTATCATCGTCTTCCTCCCCAAACCACAAGGGGGGAACGACCCATAGACCTGCTGCCCTTGTTTGCTAGAATATGGTCTAGATTGAGACACAAGCAGGTCTCCAATTGGGAATCCAAGTTGCCCGATAGGTTTTTCTGGGGAGCCTCTAGTGAGACCTCATGTGACAAGTCCGCCTGGATTCACAACACCCTTGCGGCTGTGGCTCCCCAGTTAGGCTTTGTCAGTTTTAGCGCGTTTGTGGACCCCCGCAAGTTTTATGAAATGGTCAGCCACCAGGAACTTTTGTGTGCTGCCAGGGATGCTGATTTTCCCCTGGCACTTCTGAGGCCCTTGTGTGCCTTGTACAGAGGCCCGAGGAGGGCCGTGTACCAACAATCGGTTTCGGAGGTCATTAACGCGAGCGGGTCCAGCATAGCAGGTTGCTCATGCGCAACAGGGTTGGCTAAGTTGATGACGATCACCACGCTCAGGAGCATAGGGGTTAAGTGTAACCTGATCAAAATCAAGAGCTTGATCGATGACATCAGCTTACATGTGATAGGTGGGCCCACTCAGGTTGCAGATCAGGCGATAACTGGTCGAACGATGCTGATAGGAGGCATGAAGGACCGCAGGCTCCCGATTTCGTGGGACAAGTGTGGTCTGTTGTGCAGTGATGATGAAGTTTTCCGCAAAGTGAGAGCGCATGTGCGTGATCTTTGGCCAGAAGATGTTCCTTGCCCTAGTCGCGATGCCTTTCATAGAGATCTAGGGGGAGATGCCATTGACGGAAGGATGAGGAGGATAAGCACTCAGGTTTCGAGGATCTCAGAGGCTCTGCAGCGAGGGGTGCGTGTCAAAGCTCTCCAGGGACTGGGTCGTCAAAAATCAGCTGTGCATCGAGCAGGGGTCCTGGCCAAATCTCTTTGGGGCTCCAGTATCCACGGTGTGGCAAGTTCGAGGATCCAGTCCCTTCGCATGTCGTACTTGAACGTTGGCAAGTACAAGCCAGGCGCGTCTGTGGGTCTTTCGTTGCTGACGGCAGAGTGCGGCTGGCAGCAGGACCCCTTGGTCATTGCGAGTGGACGCGGTCCACACCTTTGCTGTCGTCATGAGATCACAGGCCGTCACATGGGCGGTCGTGGACAAGTTGCTCAAAGAAGCGAGGCCGTTGCTACTGGATCCACAACGCTAGGCCAAGTGCAAAAACCCAGTTGCCGCGCTTCTCCTCTCGCTCCACAGGATTGGGTGGTCTTGGGAGGACGTCCACACCATCAGAGATGACGACGAGCAGCTTTGGGACTTCAGGACCACTCCGCCCGCCCTACTGAGCTCGATGGTCAAGCATGGGGCCCGTAGGCACATCGACAGGGAAGCTCTTCACAGGCTCGCACATGGTGACTCACGAGTCCCTCAAGGCCCCTTATCGTGGATACCCATGAACGAGGTCTTGCATTCAAAGCGCAGTAAGTTACCGCCAAGGGAACGGAGGTCTCTCAGGGGCCTGTGCTCGGGGGCCCACTGGTGCCAGCACAGGGTCTCGAAGTCCTTCAGCGGGGAGCCCTCCGTGTGCTTGAGGTGCCAAGGTTGCCTGGGTACGTTCTACCATAGGTTCTTTGAGTGCGACGCGTACCACTTCTTCAGGCAGGAGAGGCTCCCGAAGGAGCTCCACAGTGCAGTCAAGCGTATGAAGCAGGCCCCTGAGGCCCTACAGACTCTCTTCTGCCGTGGCCTTCTTCCTGACCCTGCTCAAGCTTTCGCTTATCCGAGCAGGAACCCAGCACACCACTTTTATGACATGGGTCGCAAAGGAGTTGTTCATGTTGAAGGAGGCGTTGTTTTCACTGACGGGAGTGGGTTCTACACGGACATACCGTACATGAGAAGTGCTGGGTGGTCGGTTGTAGTTTACGGCCATGAACCCAGGAGGGTGGCCAGATATTACGGTGCAGTGCCAAAAGATATGTGCCCCCTGCAAGTGGCCAAGTGTGGTGAGGACTATGCGATGTAAAATGTTAGCAGGCAAGTCCTTGGATCATACACGGTGCTCTCAGACTGTAGAGCCACGCTTTCTTACTGTCGTTCGCCCAGCCTGGCAGTGGGAGCAGGCAATCCAAGAGCGAATGTGTGGAAAATGATTGCTCAGAATGCGGAGTTACATAGGCAGGCGTTCAAGCATGTGAAGGGCCATACAACATCGACGGATGTGATTGAAGGTGTGTTGTCTGATTTTGAGAAGACGGGCAACTCCACGGCGGATGCTCTGGCGAAGCGTGGGGCTGCATATAATATGCCAGAGGATGAGCACGTGGATTTCGTTCCTGGCTGCAGGAAGTTTCACAAAATGCTTCTGCAGTACCTTGGGAGTTTTCAAGCATGGCTGTACGATTGCAACGCTGATGGCCTGGACTACCACTTCCCGCTGAAAGAAGATGTGGAGCAGGAGGCCCCTGTTCAGCAGTCCCTGCCCGTCATGGTGGGCAATTAGCCCCTCTGTGAATTGGTCCTGGAAGACGAGCTAGATGGTTTCCTGGAGCCATGGCATGTGGCAGGGCACAGCCTAGTTGAATATCCGATGGTGGATTCGCCACACTTTATTGTGTTCTGTTCCACGTGCTGCCAGTATTTCTGTTCTGATTCCAAGAATCATCGTGGACTGGCTCAGAAGTGTAAAGGCAAACATGGAGGTGGCCGCGAAGTGGAAAACCGACGGCACTTTGATAATCTCAGACATCCACAGGCGATTCGAGCTCAAGTTAGGCTTGAGTCTCCGCGGTCTCCATCAGGGCCAGCACGGAACATGGTTAGAGTGACCAAGAAGTGGGAGTTGGAGCTGAGCAGCAGCGCCGTTCAGACCCCAAGGAAGAAGCAGAGGCTCCTGGACACATCACGTATTCTCCTAGCGTACGGGCTCGAGTTTCGCGAGGCCGTGGAGCTAGGACAGATTCCCGAATATGATGATGATGACCAAGAGTCGGAGTGAGTGTGCAGCCTTGACTGTACACCGATTTGGAGCCATGATGTGGCGTTTGATCCTCGGTGGCTTCGACAACTTGTTCTGCTTTCAAATCCTGTGCCCTTGGGGCGGCAGGTTCGTTCGTCGCCAGGCTGGTGACTTCCGTCCGAGGTTCTTGCGGTTGCAGCTTTGCTGGCCCTTGAATCCTCTAAGTGGTGGGAGCGCCAGTCCGTTTTGCCGTGGCTCGATCGTGATGCTGTTCTTCCGCATCCCCTTCGTTTGCCACGTCGGCGACGTTTTCCACGCGGGCATGCCGTTCGTTGCCCTGGCGCTGGACTGGGGGTGGTGGTTGCACCAGCTCAAGGCGCTGGGAGCCCTCGAGGAGCGCTTCGTCGCCTCGGTGGGCCTCGTGCGGGTGAGCACGGGCCTGCCGCAGGCCCCGTGCTCCCTGGCCGCCCGCGGCCGCTTTGAGGTAGGTACGCCCCCCACGCCCCGTCCTGGCGCTTGCAAGGTGGTCCTGGCCTTCGGGCTCCACCGTGTAGGTGCTGGGAGGGGGTTGTGAGGGTTGTGCCTCCCTCCCCGTCTCTGGATCCAACTGCCCCTCGGCTTCCGCTCGCTCGCTCCTCCTCCCTTTCCTCCTCCTCCCTTTCCTCCTCCTCCTCCTCCTCCTCCTCCTCCCTCCTCCCTCCTCCTCCTCCTCCTCCTCCTCCTCCTCCTTTTCCTCCTCCTCCTCCTCCTCCTCCTCCCTCCTCCTCCTCCTCCCTCCTCCTCCTCCTGCCTCCTCCTCCTCCTCCTCCTCCCTCCTCCTCCTCCCTCCTCCCTTTCCTCCTCCTCCTCCTCCTCCTCCTCCTCCCTCCTCCTCCTTTTCCTCCTCCTCCCTCCTCCTCCTCCTCCTCCTCCTCCTCCTCCTCCTCCTGCCTCCTCCTCCCCGTGCCGCACCGAGGCACGGCGGGCCCGAGCTGGCGGAGCGACGCGCTGCCCACAAGGACCCCCCCGGCCGCGGGGGCAGCAGGGGGAGGCGGGTGGGCTGGCGCGCGCGTCGGAGGCACCCTTCGGGTCGGGCGAAAGGGGGGGATAGCAAAGGGGGGGGTTGAGAATCAGCTCACGTAGCTGATTTTCCCGGCGCCTCCCGGCGCCGGAGGCGGCTATGTATCGAGGAATGGGCCCCTCGGCGAGGCCGAAACCAGCTGCATGCAGCAAATTTCGTAACCCCCCCTTTCCCAATCCCCCCCTTTCGCCCGACCCGAACCCTGCAGTCCCAGGGAGGGGGCCCGCACAGGGAGCGGCGGCATGGCAGCTGCAGTCCCGGGGAGGGGGCCCGCACAGGGAGCGGCGGAGCCCACACCTCTGGCCCCAGCAGCGCCTGCAGGTCCGCGAGGGGCGCCAGAGAAGACGGCGGCCGGCACAGACCCCCGACGTCACGAACTTCTGCTGTAGCGTCGGCCCCCGGAAAGCTCGACCCGCTCCCCGGGACCGGTTTTGCGTCCTGAGGCGTCTGTGGACGGTCCCGGTGCCCGGCGAGGGCCTCCAGGGGCCGAACACGGCGAAGAACCTCCGCCCTGCTTCTTCCGCACGCTGAGGCTCTGGGAAGAAGGAACAGAAGGAACATCCAGAGCCTGCCCTGCCGAGACCACCGCCCTCCACCCCAAGGCCGTGACCGTCCTCTCCTCCTCCTCCTCCTCCTCCTCCTCCTCCTCCTCCTCCTCCTCCTCCTCCTCCTCCGCCTCCTCCGCCTCCTCCTCCTCCTCCTCCTCCTCCTCCTCCTCCTCCTCCTCCTCCTCCTCCCGCTTCCTCGCCCTCCCGTCGCCAGCGGCGGCCTCAGCATGAAGAGCAGCGCCAGCCTGCCCTCGGGCGCCGCGGCCGCCTCTGTGCGGCGGGGCGGTCTGAAGACTGCGAGCTGGCAGGGGGAGGCGCCACAGGCTTCTGCCCTATGCCCATGTGGCGACCGATGGAAAGATCAAGACAAGCGGTCTTCAACGTGTTTCGGCTCTTGCAAATCCGCTGGGGAGGCCCTCAAGCTGTCGGGAAAAACAACTTGGGATTTCAAAAACCGTGTGGTGACAGACCCGGCGGTGACCTCGAAATCCGCAAAGACCTCACCGCAGGGTCCGTCACCACACGGTTTTGGGACCCTGGAGGCCCCAGTCGCCAGAGACATCCTCGGAGAACGACCCAAGTCCCAAAACCGTGCGGTGACCCCAAATCCCCACCGACTCACCACACGGTGTGGTCACCACCCCGTTTGGCGGTCCCGGAACAACAGTGCGCACGAATAAAAACCCTAGTGAAGGGGTCGGGAGTTCTGGGGCCTACGGGCTCACAAGTCACAACTTGGGAGGTTTAGGTACTGAAGGGATACGGTCGGGATCTTTTGCTTAGCCAGTCGCCACGGCGGCTCCGGCGACACGCTATCCCTTGCAAGCGGATGCAATGTCGCTCCGCTCCGCGGGGCGCGAGACTGGGAAATGCTTTCGACGCTGACGCGTTGGGACTGGGAAATGGATGGCGTATCGCGCCAGAGCGTGGTGGGCTAGAACCAGCGAAAGGACACGCTATCCCAAAGCCACCGACCGTATGCAAATTAATTCGGGGCACCGTCCTATCTTAATCGCTGGACCGCCGCACCTTTTGCTACCCCCACGCGAGCGTCATCTCAAGCCCGCTGGCCCTCTTCCGCTCCACGCACCCGCTCGCTGCACAATGACACCCATCGTCCTGAAATTGCGCTACGCTGAATCCCCCTGGTCAGGAGCAAAAGGTCTGCAACGGACAAGGAGGTATCGCCGCCACTGTGCCGAAAGCACTGAATGGAATGTCCTCAGGATCCGCTGAGTCCTCTGTATTGTTTATTGGGCCCAGACGCAGAGTTTCGGGCGCTCCGTGGGCTTGGCGTGCGATTACATGGGCGCAACGCATGCCTATTCCCGAGATCAACAACCATCGGTAGCTTGTAAAGCTGTTTGGGGGCTATATTCCAAACTCTGCCGACCCCCGCTTGTCAGGGGTGAAAGGGCGTGTGAGACATTTGGCTGTCCCCCTCCCCCTTTCCCCCTCCCCTGGGGTCCAACATGCCATTCTGAGAGGGGGGGAGGGGGGGGTAAAGGGTACAATTGGGACCATTTGGGAACCGTTTTCGTGTAGCTTGGTTGTTTTGGATTGTTTTCTATCAATATGTACTTCTATCAGTCTCTCTCTTTCTCTGTCTCCCTGTCTCTCTGTCTCCCTGTCTCTCTGTCTCCCTGTCTCTCTCTCTCTCTCTCTTTCTCTCTCTCTTTCTGTCTCTCTCTCTCTCTTTCTCTCTCTCTCTCTCTCTATCTCCCTACATGTGTTTTCATCGTTTTCTCTCTCTCTCTGTCTCTTTCTCTCTCTCTCTCTTTTTTGTTCTCGCTCTCTCTCTCTCGGGCCAGCGCGCCGCCAAGGGCGGGCAAACGAAAGCATGAAAAATGCGGAAACAACAAAAACATAAACAATCCTCAGAGAAGCATGCGAAGAAGCTGCAAACACGACGGAAAAGCCAAGCTTTAGCCATCAATGTTTCGTGACGTCGACGAGCCAGATCCTTGTGTTTTCAGAAGTTTGGTGGCTACCAGACGCCCCAAACAGTGTCTTTCCTTAGGTGTTGCAACTGTTCGCATGGATGTGTTAACATGTCCATGGTTTTCTTGATTTGTTGTGGTTTGAACAGTTTCGCATGTTGCGCATGTTTGCGTCCTGGCGCAGCGCCAGCCCTCGCGCCGCCTGGCGCGGGCAGGCGAACAGGAACAACAACACAACAAGGGCACCCTCAGAATGCCATGCGAAAGAACTGCAAGCACTAAGGAAACCAAATTTTGGCCAACTAGTTCCCGCGAAACCTGTGACAACACAGAGTCTCGTGACGTCGATGAGCCAACGCCATGCGTGTTCACAGGTTAGGTAGCTATCACATGCCCAAAACACTGGCTTCCCGTAGGTTATGCATTTTTTCCAAGTGGACTTCTTCGGATGACATTGGTGTTCTTTGTTTTCTTGTCTGTATGTTTTGCGGTGTTTTGCATGTTCACCTGTTCGCGCCCTGGCGCTTCGCCAGCCCTCGGGCCGCCTGGGGCGGGCACGCGAAAATGTGAAACAAATACAAAAAAGGCAAACACAAAAACACGATGATAACCAAGGACGTTCTCAGAAAGCCATGCGAACCAAAACTTCAAACTCTAAAGAAAAGTAAGGTTTGGGCCAATTAGTTCCCACGACACCTATGAAATCATACTGCTTCGAGACGTCGGTGAGCCAAGCCCATTTGTTGTCACATGTTTGGTGGCCATCAGGCGACAAACACATGAGTTGTCCTTAACTTTGTTTTCTTCTCCGAATGGATTTCTTTGGATATCCTAAATTTTCTTTGTTTGATTTGTTTTTTTTTGTATGTTCGCCTGTTCGCGCCCTGGCGCTGCCCGGGCCCTCGAGCCGCCTACGGTTTGGAAGGGAACACCGAAACCAAACCAACAAACCAAAAACCCACATACTACAAAACACATACTAAGACAACCATGCGAAAAAGCTTCAAACATTAAGGATCAACCTAAATTTTGGCCAGCCAGTGCCCATGAAACCTTCGAAAACACAATGAGTCGTGACGTCGATGGGCCACAACCATGCGTTTTCGCAAAATTGGTGGCAATCCTGCGTCCGAAACATTGGATTCCCATAGATGTTGTACTTTGGCTCGCAAGGGTTTCTTAGGAGGTCATGTTTTTGTTCTGCTTGTTTTCCGTATTTGTGCTTGTTGCTTTTGTATGTTCGCCCGTTCGCGCCCTGACGCTGCGCCGGCACTCGCGCCGCCTGGGCCGGTCATCACACTCACGGGGTGGACAGGACGATGACTACGATAACGACGTAGGGGGAGATGGAAGGCAAGAGCAGGAGGCAAAGCTGGTTTCGGAGATGTCGCTGAGACGTCCGAGGATCTACGGACATCTCGAATGAAGAGGCGACAAGTGAGATCATGGTTCTGCGCGTTATTCCATCCAGGTTAGCCGCTGAGCAATATCTTCGCCGCCACAGCTGCGTTCCGTTCCGAGGTGCTCTGAGGGTGACGCCTGCAAGGGTCTGGGCGGGGCTCGTGCTACACCGGCTGGGATCGCTGAACCGCGCCGTGGGGCTCGTTTGGGAAGTGCGCGAGCGGCGACGGAGAGAAACATGTAGAGCATGCGCTTTTACATACGGCGGGGGCGATCCGCGACCTCTTCCAGGTTCGTCTCAGGTAACGCAGTGCGGCCGAATCGCTCAGAGGGGCCCGTCGACGTGGAACCGCTCCCGAAAGCGCAGGAGGAATCCCTTACAGATGCCGTCAGCCTGCGCAGTGCAACGGGCACATATCGTCCCACAGCCGACATGCTCGCGCCCGCGGCGCGGGCCTTTTGGAGGCAGATTTTGGCGGCGAGGCCCGCTGCCTCCGCATGTTGTTGTGGATGCCATGACTATGGACACCCTAACAGTCCTATCATTGAATCCCACCAGCCCTCTGGGCGTCGGTGGCTTAGGGCGTTTCCTCTTCCACCCCTCCTTCTTCCCGTTCGGGGAGGAGTGCACCCCTCCCCCTACCCCCTCCCCATGGACCTGGACAGGGGGGTTCGCGAGGTGTCAGGGCGTCCAAAACGGCCTCGGCGAGGAAGCCAAACTTATTAATTTTACTATGGTTTTGGCCCCATTGTGGCCTTCTGGGAAGGCGACTGCAATCCGTACCCCCCCCCTCATGTGATCGATATCACCTAAGATGGCCCAAAGATGGCCCCCAAGGCTCCCAAGCGTGCCCCAAGAGGGCCCCAAGAGGTGGCCAGGAAGCCCCAAGAGGCCCCCAGGATGCCCCCAAGAGGCTCCCAAGAGACCCCCAAGAGGCCAGAAGAGACCCCCCAGAGGCAGCCAAGATGCTCCAAGAGGCCTCGGCGAGAATGCCCAATCATTGATTGCACGAAGGTTTTAGCGACATGTTGGCCTCTTTGGGGGCGGGCGGCACTGATTAAGATGACTCCAAGAGCGCCTGGGAGAGCCCAAGATGACCTCCAAGATGGCTCAAGATATCCCAAGGTGTCTCATAATGGCTTCCTCTGTGTGCTGCCCACTTCCCTGATCGAGGCAATTCCTCTAGGCATCGTTTCTAGATGGGCTGGCGAGGATTCGCAAAGCGTCAACAATTTTGAACGTGTTGAGAATGTGGGAATCTGTTCTAGACATGTATTAGGCATGTGCTTTTGCATATCTAAAACATGTTTTCAACATGTCTTAGACATCTGGAACTTATTTGGCAGCACGCTTCCCCTCCATTCATCGACTTCCACAAGCATGTTGCCGATATGCGGGAGTCTCGCCGCTTGCGGGGGGCCACCTCTGTGGCTCCAGCCGCAGCGCGCGCGGCCGCCTGTGCACCGGCCTGCGCCCGCATGGCCCCCTGCCGCGCTTGCCAAGAATGTCTTCGCCCGTCGCCGCCAGGCTCTGCTGCCTCCCCTTTCACCGCCCCTCGCGGACGCCCGCCGCCTGCTCGGCGATCGGGGACATGATGCCGCTGGGCTCGCGCACTTCCTGCTGAATCGAGCGCAGGAGCAGACTGGCCGAATCTGGTTCGTTTCATCTGTCTCCAACTGCGGCGCTGCTGGGACACGCGGGGGACCGGTGCGGAGAGGGGGGCAGCTCAGTAGTAGTCGCGAGGACCAATAATAGTAGTAGTAACCGTAGTAGCAATAGTAGTAGTAGTAGTAGTAGTAGTAGTAGTAGTAGTAGTCGTAGTAGTAGTAGTAGTAGTAATAATAGTAGTAGTAAAAGTAGTAGTAGTAGTAGTAGTAGTAGTAGTAGTAGTAGTACTAGTAGTAGTAGTAGTAGTAGTAGTAGTAA